GGCCGCGGGCGCGCCTCAGGCGCCAAGTCTGGGCTGTCGGCGCCAGGCGAGGGCAGGCCCAGCACGCCCCCCGGGCTGTCCAGCTTGCAGAGCTTGGGGGCCTCGCCGGGGTTGGGGGGCCCAGGGCCCTCGGGCCGCTGGCTCGGCGCGTAGGCCGACTTGATGTCCAGCGAGAAGGAGCGCTTGAGGCGGTTGGTGTCCTGCAGGCGGTCCGAGGAGAGGTGCAGGCCGCGGAGGCCCTGCTGCAGTGCGCTGGTGGCCGGGGCAGCGGCAGGCGCAGGAGGCTCCCCGCCCGCGCCCAGCGTGCCATCCCTGGCTGCGGTGACGGCGCTCTCTGAGGTAGGTGGTGGCAGCGGCGGCAGGGGGGCTGTGGGGCCTGGGAGGGGCTCTGGGGTGCCTGGAGTGGGCGCCCCATCGCCCTGTAGGGCAGCCAGCAGCTTCAGACTGCGCTCGTACTCCAACAGCTGGCCCAGGAAGTTGAAGTTGGGCGAGATAGATGGGCGCCGGTCCTTCACGAACCTGGGGCGAGGTGCCGGGTCAGGGCCAGGCACCCACCTAGCTCCACCTCCCGACTCCCCCTGCACCCAGCCATGGGCACACAGCTGATGCACAGACCCCTAGGGTCTGTTCCGTGTGGGTGGGGACGGGGCTCAGGCTCCCTCCCCTGCCCAGGCACCAAAAGCCAGGGGACCCTGAAACTCTGGGCGACAGCCCCAGTGGGCCCTTCTGTTGCTGGTGGGGGAGGGGATGTCTGAGCCATAGGCTGGAGAGTTCCAGATGGGGGCTCAGGACGGAAGGAGGGGCTACCTGTAAGCATCGTCAGAGGACATGCCCATGGTCTTCATGATGTAAGCGATAGCGATGGTGGCAGAGCGGGAGATGCCGGCCAGACAGTGGACGATGACTTGGCAGCTGGACAGCTTGGCTTTGTCTGGGGGCAGGTGGGCAGCGGTATCAGAGGAGGTCTAGGGTTCCATGGCCCTTCCCTACCCAAGCAACAGCCTCAGGGAACCCCACTCTCCTTCCCGCCAACAATCTCAGCTGCTTCTTAGGCATGGGTGGCTGCCCTCCAGCAACGCTGGCGCGTGCACATACGCTGTCTGCACACACACACTGGTTGCACACGCTGGCTGTACACACACACACACATGCTGTTTGCACACACGCACACACGCTGGCTGCATGCACACACATACTGGCTGCACACACACATGCTGGCTGCATGCACACACATACTGGCTGCACACACGCTGGCTGCATGCACACACATACTGGCTGCACACACGCTGGCTGCACACGCACACACTGGCTGCGCACATTTGCACACACGCTGGCTACACACATGCTGGCTACACACACGCTGGCTGCACACACACGCTGGCTGCACACACGCACATGCTGGCTGCACACACACACTGGCTACACACACGCACACACGCTGGCTGCATGCACACACATACTGGCTGCACACACGCTGGCTGCACACGCACACACTGGCTGCACACATTTGCACACACGCTGGCTACACGCATGCTGGCTACACACACGCTGGCTGCACACGCACATGCTGGCTGCACACACACACTGGCTACACACGCTGGCTATACACACACGCTGGCTGCACACACTCACACACGCTGGCTGCACACACACGCTGGCTGCA